TACATAAACACACACACATCAAAAACTTTTTTTTTTTTTTTTTTATTTTTTTTTTTATTTATTTTAATTAATTCATTTTTTTATTTTTTTTAAATTAAATAATAATAATTCATTTTTTTATTTTTTTTTATTTAAACCATAATATAAATAGATATTAATAATAATAATAATAATAATAATAGTATTTAATAAATTGAAATTTTTTTTTTTAAAAATTCTATTTTCTTTTATTTATTTTAATTGAATCTTGTATTTTATTAATATTTTTTTTTATAATAGAACATCCAACTTTATCATATAATAATAATAGTAATAATAATAAATTTATAAAAAAACTATTCATTTAATAAAATATAAATAATAAATAAATAAATAAATAAATAATAATAAAAATAAAAAATATTAAAATAAAATTTTTATAGTTTTTAAATATCCATATATATAAATAAAAAATAATAAATAAATATTTATTTTAATAATGAAAATAATAAATTATGTGTTTATATATTTATTTGTTTTATTAGCAGTAATAATAAATAATAGCAATAATAGTGTAGAAGCTTTAAATACAACAACAATAAATTATTATCAAATTAGAAGATATGAAGAAAAGAATTGTACAGGTAGAATTATGTCATTTTTTGTATTTTACGAGCATAGTGTATATTCTGCATATTTAAATATATTATTTCAATGTGACTCTAGCAACCCCGAAGAAGCTAAATGTGCGATGATTAATGGATATCCAACTGGGGAAACTGTAGATTACGATGACAGTATAATTACAATTGAAAAGAACAAGTGTTTTAAAGGCTATACATTGGTATACGATACAGAATTTAATTATGACGAAAAGAAATATTGTGTAGTATCAGAATATTCAACGTATGTATAGTTTTATCATAGATTAAATTATAAAATTACGATTCATTTTATTAAATTTTTTATTTTTTATTTAAGATTATCATGTGAATACAGACCAATTTTAAATTTTGGATCATTAAAGGGTGGTTGTTTTAAAGGTAAAAATTATGAATGTTCAACTATTTCATATAAAGAGAAAACTTGTTTAATTTTCGATAATGGAACGATATCTTATTTTTCAGATAACGAATATGTAGAAATACCTTCTTATGTTTGTATGGGCGATGTTACATATGAAAGATCTGTAGTAGTGCATGCTGTAACCATTAATGGTGTTTACGATTCGAACCTAAAGTCAATTTATGCGCCAAATCTAAGACAGTCAAGACAATCAAAACCAAATACCTATTCTTCTTCAAATTCAATAATTCATAATAACAGTAACAATACACTTTTAAGTTATTTAAAAAATATATTAATAATAATAACATTACAACTATTATTAATAAACTTATAAATTATAAAATTAAATAAATAATATTAAAAAAATATAATAATAATTTTTGTAAAGCTAACTTTATTTTTTATTATTTTTGTTTTTAGTTTATTATTGCAGTTTTAAAAACAAAATTGTTTTTTTAGAAAAAAGAAATAAAAAATATTTTTGATATTCGGTAAGGTTAAATATACAATAGTTTGAATTTGATGATTCCATTCTTTGAGAAGAAGACATGGCTCAATGGTAGGTTTAATGAAGGTTATTGAAAGGAAAAAAAAAATTTTAAAAAAGTAAAAAATTTAAAAAAAATAAAAAGAAAAAAAATTGCAAAAAAATTCAATAAAGGTATGTTTATGCTGTTATTTTAATAATAATATAAACATTGGATCTGTTGGGATATTAATAATAAAAATGAATAATTTTTTTTAAAAAAGATATTTTTTTCTAAAAATTTTAAAATTAATAAGCTGACAATAATTTTTAAAAACTGAAGATAACGTTTTTTTTAATCTTTAAAAATTTTCAATTTCCACCTGCAGTTTTGATAATAATGCGGCAACCAGTTCCTCTTTCACGTATTTTTAAAAAAAATAAAAAAATATAAAAAAAATTTTTAATTTTTTTGAAATTATAAATCCCAAAAGAATTTCAGGTTTGAATGGAATAATAAAAATTTTTTTTTTTTAAAAGAATAAAATCAATATGTCAACACTAATAATAATATTTTTCATAAAATTATTTATTAATTTTTCACTTCAGTATTCACAATCAGAAAGTAAAATAATAATTATAACAACAATAATAATAATAATAATAATAATAATAACAATAATAATAATAATAATATTTTATTCTTTATTTATAGGTATATGTTTTTCCAATTTATTAACAAAGTTGGGTTACAGCCCTCCACAAGATTTTTGCCAAGATCCACCTTATTTTCAATGCGAAAATTTAAATATAATTACAATGGATTTTTCTTCACTTCCTCAGTTAACGAATAATGCTATACAGAATACCGATGTAAGATGTATTGGACCAAATCTCAAAACAATTTATACCTACAAATGGAATATAGCTGATAACTTTTTTGATTTTGCAACAGAGTCTCTAGATTACATGTAATTATAAATAAAATAAAATAAAAATAAAAAATTATATAAAATTAAAATATTAATAATAATATAGAGAAATGGACTCACCACTATCAATAAGTTTTAAATACCCAATCAATTCAAAGAAATTCGTTACAACTTTAGGAAAAAGAATTGAAGAACCTTTATCTCTATCGCTTTTTACTACACCTTTAAAAGATACTATTATAATTAAACCAGATCCATCACTATCAAACAATATGAATTATGGATTATATGTAAATAATGATTTAGAAAACACTTTAGAAGATCCTTTTATTTGTCAAAATGCTTATTTTGTAACAAGAAATATCCCATCAATGGCAAATGTTATTTCCAATGGTATATTTTTATATTATTTAACAAGTGATTTCGATTTCAACTCTCTCAAAAATTTATCAACACACAATAATGTAGGAATGGTACAATTGACTAGTTTCCCAGGTGTATCTTATCCACTAGTTCCGCTATTGATATTGTTGGGTTCAAAAGATCCAATTAATGAAAATATATTTCCTGGTATGTAAGTATAAAACTAAATATAATAATTTTTAATTATAACATTTATTTAATATTTCTCGCACCCATTAAAGCTTTATAGGATATGATGTTCAAACACCAAATGAATTTATTGAATTTACAGGATACTCTTTCTTTAAAATATTGTAAGTTAATTTTATTTTAAATAAGAAACTTAATATTATAAAAACACTAATTTTATCTTTGATAATTAATAGAGCATTTTACAATACTTATAATTTCCATATTGATGGTGAATTACCATTTTCAAAACTACCAAATGGTCTTTTACAATTGTATGTATTATTATTTTTATTGCAATTATAAAATAATAAACACTAATAACAATTAACTTTCAGTTCATATTATTATGGTCCATTAAAAAAACTTCCAAATTATAAAATATTTGATAATACAGATATTATTACGTTATCTTTTTATTCTAATCAAATAGGTGGTGATTTACCAAAATGGGATGGTTCAAAAAACAATGTAACAATCCTAGAGTTAAGCTCAAATTCAATAACTGGAACTATTGATGAATCTTATTGCTCTGTGCATTTATTTATTTTTAATAATTCAATGACAGGTAAAATTCCAGAATGTTTTACATGCCATTTTAGCGATCCTTTTATAAAACTCAACTTTAAACAAAATTCATTTGATAACTACGATACAATAGGAACATGCAGTAAGTTTATAAAATATATTATTTAAATTAATTTTATTATTAATACTAATATATTTCTTTTTATTATAATTTTACAATTTTAGAAACTATTCCAAAATTAAAATATTTAAATCAAACTTTTTGGAAACTAAACAAAAAAGTAACAGAACCAGTATTATCATTAATCGGTCAAAATATTGGATATTGGGTAAGTGATATTGAATCAAATATACAATTTAATTACATTTTAAAAGCCAATTCAATATTTATTGCATATGGTTCCTATACTCCAAATAGAATTATCCACAATATAAAATTCACAAGTACTGGTCAAAAATTTACATTAACTCCAGATCCATATCCACCATTATTATCAAATATAACATCAAATAATCATATTTTAGTATTCAAAGGTTTATATTATTCATACGATATCACTGAAATAACAATTACAATTGGTGATAAATCTTGTGATGTAACTGATTCAACATTCTTTCAAATCACATGTACTTTAACAAAATATCCAAATCAACTGAATAATGTTCCAGGTACACTCAAAGTAGATCAATTACAAACAACATTCAATTTAAATTTAGATAACAACGATGGTAACGAAGTATTCAACAACTATACATCATGTCCAGACAACTGTGAATCATATAATGGTAATATATGCAACTATAATACTGGTATTTGTGAATGCCCAAAAGACTGGACCGGTGAAAATTGTTATACTCCAAATCATTATGTATCATCAATTACACCAACATATGAAGATGGCGGATTAGTAACAATGAATGGATGGTTCGGTGATATTCATAAAGATTTAAAATTAACAATCGGAAATCAAGAATGCAAAATAGATACAATATCATCAAAAACAATCACATGCAACATTGGAGCAGGTACAGGTAAAAAAGATGTAATCGTAAATCAAAATGGAATCACATGGAAATCATTCAACTTTTTTGTATACCAATCAAAACAACAAACATGTTTAAACAACTGTATCGATACTAACCATGGTATTTGTAATACATCAAATGGTATTTGCGAATGTAAATCAGGATGGACTGGATTCGATTGTAGTTCACCTTCAAATAATAATAACAATGGTAATACCAACAGTACAGTTAATCCAGACGGCTCAACATCAATAAATAATGATAAAACAACATACAATATATTAATCACATCATTATTAGAACTCGATATCAACAGTGACACAGTTAAACAATATCCACTTCAAAACAATTGGAATATTACATCAAATGATAAAAACGGATCAAATGTAACATTCACACAAATATTAAACGAAACTGAATGTCAAATCGTATTATCAATTCAAGAAATAGAAAATGATATTCAATATTCATTTGCAGGTTTAGAATTCAAATTAGATAAAGGATCAATTAAAGTATCAGTATCAATTCACAATTACAACTATCAAAGTCCACTCAATACATTACAATTACAAATGATATCAAATGTATCAGATACAACATCGAACGATTGTAACAGTAAATCAGCATCAACATCAACATCAATATTAGACAATCAAACATTAAACTATATATCGATCAACAAAGACAACAAGATTCTATATGGTAGATTTATAAACAGAGCAATATCAGATGGATACACAACATTAATCACCACATCATTAGTATCGAGTCAAAACGAATCAGTAACCATTGGTATTAACATTCCACATTGCAGAACATCATGCTATATCGATCCTGACTTTTCAGTATTGATTAATTCCAATTTCAAATCAAACTGTGACGAATCCAAAAACCATACAACTCTGATTGCAGTTCTTGTAAGCTGTATTGGTGTAGCTACTATTATCATTTTAACAGGTATATTTTATAAAAAAAGTACCAAAACTAAACTAATAGTTTTTAAACTTAAAAAAATAATTAAAATAACCAAATAAAATTATAAAAAAACCTTTTTTTTCTTTTAAATTGGTTCGATCTTGTTTTTCAAAATGTAATATTGTAACCCTTAATTATTATTATTTTAATATGAATAACCTTAATTAATCAAAAAAATGGTTAATCATTGATAAGTCAAGAATTTTTAAAATTCAATTTAGTTTATAAATAAAATAGGTTTTATTTCCCAAAATTAAATTAAACAATACATATTTTCTTTGGTCACTTTTGTTAAAAACTTAGTTATTCAGGATTGATTTAGGTTTAAGATTTTTTTAATAATAATGTGGCAACCAGTGCCCCTTTCACGTATTATTCAACAGTGACAATGCACTTTTAAATAATTTAAAAAATATATTAATAATAATAATAACATTACAACTATTATTAATAAAAAAAATATAATAATAATAATTTTTGTAAAGTTAATTTTATTTTTGTTTTTAGTTTATTATTGCAGTTTTAAAAACAATATTGTTTTTTTAGAGAAAAAAAAAAAAAAAAAAAAAAAAAATTAAATAGTTTATTAGGTTATTAATTTATGAATATTTTATTTATCAAATTAATTTAATTATCTTATTTTATTATCCATAAACCATTTTCTTAATGATGCGCACCAAAACATTAGGATTTCCATATCTTTTTCAAATTGACAATTTATAATATTTAAGAAACTTAATAACCTCTTATCTTTTTCATCTTCGATAATTGTTTTCATTGAATAAAATGATTTTGATTTACTAATAGTAAAATTAATGATAATTAGTATTATGTTAAAACTATATATTGTATAAATAGTTATTATTGTCTACTTACTTTATCCATTCTTCTTTAAGTGCTTTTAACTGAATATTTTCTAATGGTGTTGAGCAATATTGTTTATATATTGATTCGATTGCTAAACCTAATGTTGAAGGATGTTTTGGACCTATACATGTAATTTCAATAGTTGATCTATTAGGATGGTCTATATCTTCAGGTTCTTTTGATTTGTCATAATCTAAAATAAAAAAGATTATAATAAATAAATATAAATTGTTTTTTGTTATTATTATTATTTTAAAACAATAAATAAAAATAAAACTTACATTCAATATCAACAATACTTGTAGTTTCTTTATCGATATGTCTTGGTATTACTGCTATCGAGTTTAGACCTAAAATATTGCATTCCCATTGTTCTTTAAAGGTATCTGAATAGTCACAAGCTGTAACACACTCTGTTGGTAATAGTTCTTTAATGATGTCAACCATTGATTTAACTAAGATTTCGGAAGAGCCCCTAATGATTACTTGATTACCTATAATTAAATTATAAATCAATATGGAGAATGCATCTTCACCCATAATACGATGGATTTGACCAAATGATGTTATTAGCTCTTCTTGTTTTGGGAAAATATTCTCTAATAATAAAATATTGGTTTCGTTTAACATATTTAAGTTTAGACCAAATCCACCTACAACACCTCCACCTCCACCATTTATACCACTAATTAAGCTTGGTGAGCCTCCGCTTATTTTTATATTGCCGCTATTATATGTATTATTTATATTTTCTTTAAAAAATTCTATGTGATTATATTGTTCAGGTAGTATCATTTGATTACCTTTTAATAGATGATATTTAATTTGACAATTTGATAAAATACTGCAAAAGCTTTTATGTAATCTAGTAAAAAATGACTAATATATAAATGGTTAATATAGAGCCTTTAATTTAAACATCCTATGCAATTATTTTTAATGATTACTTACAGAGTCTTCAGTTAATTCAGTTAGTAGTTTTAATGGAATTGATCTTGTACCTCTTCTATAGATATTTGAAATCATTGAGCTGCTAAGACTTTGTTGTGATCTTTCTCTTTCAAAAACTACATTGGTTTTTCTTTTAATCTCCTCTGCTATCGATTTGAAACATCCAATTAGCCAACTATAATAGTTTAACAAACAAGAGCCCTCTTTTATTAAGATTAAGAAACCGTACCATCTTGCGCTACCTCTAGCTCTACTATCGTTAATTTTAAACATATAGGACAACCAATGACCATCATTACTGCTTATGAGTACTGGGCCTTCTCTACCTTGGACAGCTTCGCAACTAAGACTTCTAACACATGCATTTCTAATAACGCTATAGCTTTGATTTGAAGTTTGATGTGTACTAACATAATATACATTTTTATTTTTTGGGTCTTTTGAGACCAGTGCTTGGCCTTGTTGTACTGATGAACATGTTGGGCATTGTTTTGTAACCGAACTTGTAGTGGTTGTGGTGTTTGTTGTAGTGGTAGTATTGGAATTTAAACTTGATTCGCTATTTGTATCATCACCATCACCACTATTACTGCTAGTTGCAATGGTTACTGAAAATGTTTTAAACTCTTCATTTTCATTTTCAAATAATCTTGGTAATGTAGTGGGTGAATTATTATTCATATTGATATTTATATTATTTAAATGATTTACATTGTTACTATTATTCATTGTTGAGCTATTATCTTCATCATCAGTTTCGTAATTATAGTCGCTAAATGGCTTTTCTACACCATTTTCATTTGGTATACTATTTCTATTGCTATTAATTTTTAAATTTGATATATCTATACTATTATTTATGCTACTACTATAATTATTATTACTATTAAACTCTATATTACTCTTATTTACACCGTTGCTATTATTAATATCATCATCATCGTCATTTTCATTGTCATCTATATTTTGTTTTTGTTGTGGTGGGGGTGGTGCTATAATTCTTTCAGTTTGAGTGGTAAATACAACAGAGGGTCCATGGGTTTCGCAAAAATGAGTTAAAACGATTGATGCAGGCATTGAATTACAGTCTAAATTATTTTTATTGTTATTGTTATTATTATTATTATTGTTGATGTTATTATTATTGATTCCATTATTAATATTATTACCAATATTATTTATTATATCATTATTATTTTTATTTTCCTCGATCAAGTAAGATGGAATTTTAACTCTGATCATAATTTATAAAGATTTTTTTTTTTATTACTATGATACATATATTAAAAATGTATTTTTGTCAAATTTAAAAAAATTAAAAAAATAAAAAAAAAAATAAAAAAAATAAAAAAAAATAAAAAAAAAATATTTTTAATTTTTTTTTATTGTAATATAAAAAAAAAATAGCGTGTTTGGAAAAATATTAAAAAAAAAAAAAGAAATAAAAAATATCTTTGATATTCTGTAAGGTTTAATATACAATAGCTTGAATTTGATGATTCCATTCTTTGAGAAGAAAACATGGCTCAATGGTAGGTTTTGTGAATATGCTAACGATAATTGGTAAAACTGGTGATAAGGTTTTTTTAAGATTTTAATTTCCACTTGCAGTTTTGAAAATAATGCGGCAACCAGTGCCACTATCATATATTTTTAAAAAAAATGAAAAAATATAAAAAATTTCAAAAGATATATTTTTTCAAAAAAATTTTTTATATTATTTCATTAATTCAAACCTGAAATTTTTTTTTTTTTTTTAAATATAAAATCAATATGTCAACACTAATAATATTTTTTATTAAATTATTTATTAATTTTTCACTTCAGTATTCACAATCAGAAAGTAAATAAAATATAATATAGCTGGTAACTTTTTTGATTTTGCAACAGAGTCTTTAGATTACATGTAATTATAATCACATCATTATTAGAACTCGATATCAACAGTGACACAGTTAAACAATATCCACTTCAAAACAATTGGAATGTTACATCAAATGATAAAAACGGATCAAATGTAACATTCACACAAATATTAAACGAAACTGAATGTCAAATCGTATTATCAATTCAAGAAATAGAAAATGATATTCAATATTCATTTGCAGGTTTAGAATTCAAATTAGATAGCATTATATAAAAAAAAAGTTAAGAAACCTCCATTGGATAGTCAAAACAGAAAAAAAGATTTTGATATGCAGTTGTATATTTAAATTGGAACGTAGAACAATGGAGAAATAATATATGGATGAACTCAAACCCCAACTATTTGATAATAACCATGGTATTCTTCATGAACCTATGTCGCTAATGTTTCAATAGAATCTGTTATAAAGCAAGTGTTTGAAAGGATGGAATTAATGCAATGTTTTGGGGATTAAAGTCAGAATTTAATGTTTATGATTGTCAATTTTTTTTTTAATTTATCAAATTGATTACATTCAAACTTCATGAAATATTTCAAAACGATACAATTTAGAATTTTGTGCAGATAAAAATAAAGTTCCTGAAAAGGTACCAAATATATGACTTAAAACTATTTCATGTCCATTGTATATACAAAATATTAATAATATGTAAACAGTTTAGTAGGTATTTCAAATAATTATTAAAATTGATATGGAAATTATTTAAGCCTTTTTTTGAATGAAACAATGAAATAAAAACTAACCGATCTCATCTTAAATATAGGTAATCCAAATTACTGATAAAAACTATTTTCGTTATTGTTAGAACCTTTCTCTAAAAACATAGTAACCTATGGATTCTAAAACAGCTAAAAATAATATTTTTATTTATTCTTTAATTTTTTTTTCAATTTAATTTATTATTTCAGCACATATTAAAAATGTTTAAAATATCTTTCCAGTATTATCGGTTGCTATTTAAATTTCAAAGTGTAATAGAAAAATTACAAAAATATTACTAACCATTAGTTAGATAGTACCGTTACTATTCAACTGTATAAACTTACTTTCATATGATAAGTCAATAATATTTAAAATTCAATTTAATTTTCAAATAAAATAGGTTTTATTTCCCAATATTAAATTAAACAATACATAATTTGTTTGGTTATTTTTGTTAAAAACTTCGTTATTCAGGATTGATTTAAGTTTAAGATTTTTTTAATAATAATGCGGCAACCAGTTCCCCTTTCACGTATTTTTAAAAATAAAAAAATATAAAAAATTTAAAAAAAATTTAAAAAAAAATTTCATTGTTTTTTTTTTTTTTCACATTAATTTAAGAATTATGAAAGGAATACTAATTTTATTATTCTTTACTTTAATAATTGGTTTATCCATACAATATACACCAGAAGAAGGTAAATAAGTTTTAATATAATTATAAAATAAAAAAAATATAAAAAAAATTAAACAAAAAACAAACTATAAATTTTTATAGGTGAATGTTTTAACAAACTATTAAATAAATTGGGCGAACCTGTACCTACTGATTATTGCCAATCATTAACATCTTTTAAATGTGATCAAAACAGTAACATTATATCGTATAGTTTAATAACAACTCCTTCAAATCAAATTATTCAGAACAGTGATGTAAATTGTAAGGGCCCCTTTTTTCAAAGTCTGGTGACCTTCAAATGGAATTTAGCCGATAATTTTTTTAATTTCCAAACTGAGAATCTAAAGGAATTGTAATTTGACCAATATAAATTATCATATAGTATATATATTAATTTTGTTTTTTTGTAATCTATTCCTTAGAAATATGGTTTCACCTTTATCAATAAGTTTTGAATACCCTATAAAATCAGAAAAACTTACAGTAATTTTATCATCAAGAGTAGAAAAACCAGTTTTATTATCAAATTTAAATATTCCTTTAAAAACACCTTTTTCTATTAAACCAGATACCTCGTCCTCAAATTTTTTAGATTTTAGTTTATATATTAATAATGATTTAAGCAATACACCAAGCAATCCCTTTATAATAAATCAAGCAGAATTTGTAACAAGAAATATTCCATCAATGGCAAATATTGATTCACGTGGTCGTCCCTTAACTTATCATCTATCAAATGATTTCGATATTAACTCTTTCGATAATTTATCAACATACGATAATATTGAACAATTAACTTTGAAAGGTGGTTCTATTCCATTCCCTTCATCATCAATATTATTAAATACACAAAATGCATTACCATCAATATTGTATGTATTATAAATATATATAAATCATTATTTATTTATCAATTTATTAACCAAAATTCTTTTTATTAGAGATATACAATATGACGTTATGGCACCAAATAATTTTATTGACTTTTCTGGAAAAACAAATATAAATTTTTTGTAAGTTTTTAGAAATAATTTAATTAAAATTCATTTTGTATAAAATTACTAAATTATTTAAATTATCAGATATTTTACAGGTGTTTCTAATTTTCATATTAATGGAGAATTTCCATTTTCAAAGCTTCCAAATGGCATTAATACATTGTAAGTTTTATTTTTTTAACAATTATTATATTTTATATCTAAAAACTAATATAAAACTATTTTTATATTATAAATAGTTCATTTATTAGTTTAGGTTTAAAAAAGATACCAGATTTTAAAATATTTGATAATACCGATATTATCAAACTTTCTTTTTCTTCAAGCTCAATGAGTGGCAGTTTACCAAAATGGGAGGGATCAAATAATTTTATAACAAACTTAGAATTGAATTTCAACTCTTTAACGGGAACTATAGATGAATCATACTGCTCTTTGATTTTAAATGTGGGAAACAATCAAATGAGTGGTAGAATCCCAGAATGTTTTACATGTCACTTTAATGACCTAAGTTTTCAAAAAAATTTTGAATCAAATGAATTTGATAATTATAACTCAATTGGAACTTGTAGTAAGTGTTTAAAACTATAAAAATCCAACTGTAATATCAAATATTAATTATTATTTCTATTATCCTATCCAATAGAAACTATCCCAAAATTAAAATACTATAACCAAACTTTTTGGAACGGTGTCTCAAAGGTAACAATACCTGCATTGTCGTTAATGGGTCAAAATATAGGGTACAGTACTAGAAATGTAGTATCAAGTCCACAAATTCAATTTAATGTTCTTGTAAAAGCCAATTCAAAAATAAATTCTGTTTCTTATAAACCAAATAGAATTATCCACAAAATAAAATTTACAAGCACTGGTCAAGAATTTACATTAACTCCAGATCCATATCCACCATTATTATCAAATATAACATCAAATAATCATATTTTAGTATTCAAAGGTTTATATTATTCATACGATATCACTGAAATAACAATTACAATTGGTGATAAATCTTGTGATGTAACTGATTCAACATTTTATCAAATCACATGTACTTTAACAACATATCCAAATCAACTGAATAATGTATCAGGCACACTCAAAGTAGATCAATTACAAACAACATTCAATTTAAATTTAGATAACAACGATGGTAATGAAGTATTCAACAACTATACATCATGTCCAGACAACTGCAACGGTTATATATGCAACTATAATACTGGTATTTGTGAATGCCCAAAAGACTGGACCGGCGAAAACTGTTTTGCTCCAAATCATTATGTATCATCAATTACACCAACATACGAAGATGGTGGATTAGTAACAATGAATGGATGGTTCGGTGATATTCATAAAGATTTGAATATAACAATCGGTAATCAAGAATGTAAAATAGATACAATATCATCAAATACAATCACATGCAACATTGGAGCAGGTACAGGTAAAAAAGATGTAATCGTAAATCAAAATGGAATCACATGGAAATCATTCAACTTTTTTGTATACCAATCAAAACAACAAACATGTTTAAACAACTGTATCGATAATAACCATGGTATTTGTAATACATCAAATGGTATTTGCGAATGTAAATCAGGATGGACTGGATTCGATTGTAGTTCACCTTCAAATAACAACAACAATAACAATGGTAATACCAACAGCACAGTTAATCCAGATGGCTCAACAACAATTAATAATGATCAAACAACATACAATATATTAATCACATCATTATTAGAACTCGATATCAACAGTGACACAGTTAAACAATATCCACTTCAAAACAATTGGAATGTTACATCAAATGATAAAAACGGATCAAATGTAACATTCATACAAATATTAAACGAAACTGAATGCCAAATCGTATTATCAATTCAAGAAATAGAAAATGATATTCAATATTCATTTGCAGGTTTAGAATTCAAATTAGATAAAGGATCAATTAAAGTATCAGTGTCAATTCACAATTACAACTATCAAAGTCCACTCAATACATTACAATTACAAATGATATCAAATGTATCAGATACAACATCGAATGATTGTAACAGTAAATCAGCATCAACATCAACATCAATATTAGACAATCAAACATTAAACTATATATCGATCAACAAAGACAACAAGATTCTATATGGTAGATTTATAAACAGAGCAATATCAGATGGACACACAACATTAATCACCACATCATTAATATCGAATCAAAACGAATCAGTAACCATTGGTATTAACATTCCACATTGCAGAACATCATGCTATATTGATCCTGACTTTTCAGTATTGATTAATTCCAATTTAAAATCAAACTGTGACGAATCCAAAAACCATACTACTCTGATTGCAGTTCTTGTAAGCTGTATCGGTGTAGCTACTATTATCATTTTAGCAGGTTCTTTTTATTTTTTTTATAAAAAAAGTACCAAAACTAAAGTTATTGTTTTTAAACTTAAAAAAAAAATTAAAATGACTAAATAAAATAATAAAACCTTTTTTTTCTTTTAAATTGGTTTGATCTAGTTTTTGCAGAATTCAATAATTTTTGTTTATATTTTATTTTTATTTATTACTATTTTAAGAGCTGTAGGAATATTGGACTACTAAAAATTATGAACCAGAACTTTAGTATTGCATTGTGTTTTGATACATCACCTGAACATTCTGTATCAATTTCATTTGTCTTTTGTGGAATTATGAAATATTATTATTTTTATTGAAGGTTTCAATTTTTGGTCATTTCGGATAAACCTAAATAAAATATAATGTTAAGATTTACCTTTTAATTATAAAATAAAATGGGTCAACTTTAATGAACCATTAGTTTGAAATTGATGCATTTGCGATATTTTAAATCAAAAAAAAATTTTAAAAATAAAAATTTTATTTTTTTAAAATTTTTTTTAAAAATTTTTTTAAAATTTATTTTATATTTAATTATTTTTATTAAAAATAAAAATACAATAATATTTATCTTTTTATTTTAGTATCCAAATATTTAAAAAATAAAATAACATAAAAATATCACAATACCATTTTAAAAAAGGTACCCGAAAATTATAAAATATTGGAAAAAAAAAATAAAATGTAACGAATTTTTTTAATTAAAAAAATCTAGATATTTATAAAAAACCGATTGTGCTGAATTTATTTTGAATATTTGTTTATCATAGTAATTTTTTTTTTTTTTAATTTTTGTTTTAAAAAAAAAAAACAAAAAAAAAAAAATATTCTTTTGGTGAATATTAATTCAGTATGTCGAAACTAATAATAATATTTTTCATAAAATTATTTATTAATTTTTCACTTCAGTATTCACAATCAGAAAGTAAATAAAAAAATAATAATAATAATAATAATAATAAAAATAATAATAATAATAATATTATTATTTTATTCTTTATTTATTTATAGGCACATGTTTTTCCAATTTAATAATAAAGTTAGGTTACAGCCCTCCACAAGATTTTTGCCAAGACAAACCTTTTTTTCAATGCGATGTATCTTTAAATATAATTACAATGGATTTTTCAACACGTGCTCAGTTAACAAATAATGTTATACAGAATACCGATGTAGATTGTATTGGACCAAATCTCAAAACAATGATTACCTCTAAATGGAATATAGATGATAACTTTTTTGAATTTGAAACAGAGTCTCTAGATTACATGTAATTATAAAAATAAAATAAAATAATATAAAATAAAATAAAGAGAAATATATATTTATATTTTTAATAATAATAATAATAATAATAATTAGAGAAATGGTCTCACCACAATCAATAAGTTTCAAATACCCAATCAATTCAAAGAAATTCAGGACAACTTTAGGAAAAAGAATTGAAGAACCTTTGTCTCTATCTCTTTTTACTGCACCTTTAAAAGATTCTTTAATAATTTTTCCAGATTTAACACAATCAAACAATATGAATTATGGATTATATATAAATAATGATTTAGAAAACACTTTAAATCCTTTTGTGTGTGGAAGTGCCTATTTTGTAACAAGAAATATCCCATCAATGTCAAATTTTATTTCCAATAATTTAATTTCATATTATTTAACAAGTGATTTCGATTTCAATTCTTTCAAAAATTTATCAACACATAATAATATAGGACTTATACAATTAAGAGGTTTCACAGGTTTAACATATCCACTGGTTCCACTATCGATATTGTTAGGTTCAAAAGATCCAAATAGTGAAGATATGTATCCTACTATGTAAGTATAAAACTAAATTTTAATTTTTAATTATAACATTTAATTAATATTTATCGCACCCATTAAAGCAATATAGAATATGATGTTCAAACACCAAATGAATTTATTGAATTTACAGGAAAATCTTTTATTAGAATATTGTAAGTTAATTTTATTTTAAAAAGGAAAATTTATTTTAATACTCACACTATCTTTGATAATTAATAGATATTTTCTCAATACTCTGAATTTCCATATAAATGGTGAATTACCATTTTCAAAACTTCCAAATGGTCTTTTTCAATTGTATGTATTATTATTTTTAATATTGCAAATATAAAAGAATAAACACTAATAATTATTAACTTTCAGTTATTATATATCTGGGCCATTAAAAAAACTTCCAAACTATAAAATATTTGATAATACAGATATTTATCAGTTATCTTTTGATTCTAATCAAATTATTGGTGATTTACCAAAATGGGATGGTTCAAAAAACAATATAACAACCTTAGAGTTAAGCTCAAATTCAATAACTGGAACTATTGATGAATCTTATTGCTCTGTGTATTTAATTATTAGTAAAAATTTAATGACAGGTAAAATTCCAGAATGTTTTACATGCCATTTTAGCGATACTACCTTTAAATCTATTTTTAGTCAAAATTCATTTGATAACTACGATACAATAGGAACATGCAGTAAGTTTATAATATATATTATTTAAATTAATATTATAAATATTTCTTTTTATTAAAATTTTACAATTTTAGAAACTATTCCAAAGTTAAAATTTTCAAACCAAACCTTTTGGAAACTAAACAAAATAGTAACAGAACCAGTATTATCATTAATCGGTCAAAATATTGGATATTCAATAAGTGATATTGAATCAAATATACCATTTAATTACATTTTAAAAGCCAATTCAATATTTATTGCATATGGTTCCTATACTCCAAATAGAATTATTCACGAATTAAGTTTCAAGAGTACTGGTCAAAAATTTACATTAACTCCAGATCCATATCCACCATTATTATCAAATATAACATCAAATAATCATATTTTAGTATTCAAAGGTTTATATTATTCATACGATATCACTGAAATAACAATTACAATTGGTGATAAATCTTGTGTTGTAACTGATTCAACATTTTATCAAATCACATGTACTTTAATAACATATCCAAATCAACTGAATAATGTACCAGGCACACTCAAAGTAGATCAATTACAAACAACATTCAATTTAAATTTAGATAACAACGATGGTAACGAAGTATTCAACAACTATACATCATGTCCAGACAACTGTGAATCATATAATGGTAATATATGCAACTATAATACTGGTATTTGTGAATGCCCAAAAGACTGGACCGGTGAAAACTGTTATACTCCAATCCATTATGTATCATCAATAACACCAACATACGAAGATGGCGGATTAGTAACAATGAATGGATGGTTTGGTGATATTCATCAAAATTTAAAAGTAACAATCGGTAATCAAGGATGCAAAATAGTTACGATATCATCAAATACAATCACATGCAACATTGGAGCAGGTACAGGTAAAAAAGATGTAATCGTATATCAAAATGGAATCACATGGAAATCATTAAACTTTTTTATATACCAATCAAAACAACAAACATGTTTAAACAACTGTATCGATAATAACCATGGTATTTGTAATACATCAAATGGTATTTGCGAATGTAAATCAGGATGGACTGGATTCGATTGTAATTCACCTTCAAATAATAATAACAATGGTAATACCAACAGTACAGTTAATCCAGACGGTTCAACAACAATTAATAACGATCAAACAACATACAATATATTAATCACATCATTATTAGAACTCGATATCAACAGTGACACAGTTAAACAATATCCACTTCAAAACAATTGGAATATTACATCAAATGATAAAAACGGATCAAATGTAACATTCACACAAATATTAAACGAAACTGAATGCCAAATCATATTATCAATTCAAGAAATAGAAAATGATATTCAATATTCATTTGCAGGTTTAGAATTCAAATTAGATAAAGGTTCGATTAAAGTATCAGTATCAATTCACAATTACAACTATCAAAGTCCACTCAACACATTACAATTACAAATGATATCAAATGTATCAGATACAACATCGAACGATTGTAACAGTAAATCAGCATCAACATCAACATCAATATTAGACAATCAAACATTAAACTATATATCGATCAACAAAGACAACAAGATTCTATATGGTAGATTTATAAACAGAGCAATATCAGATGGACACACAACATTAATCACCACATCATTAGTATCGAATCAAAACGAATCAATAACCATTGGTATTAACATTCCACATTGCAGAACATCATGCTATATCGATCCTGACTTTTCAGTAATAATTAGTCCTGATTTCAAATCAAACTGTAACAACAAATCCAAAAAGTATGTAATTCCAGTTGCTATCGTTGCAAGCTGTTTCAGTGTAGCTGCAATTGTTGTGATCACTTACTTTATTTATAAAAGAAAACAAAAGAAAATTTTTGAAAAGAAAATTATTAATTTAAATAATTTAAATAATAAATAAAATAACAATTATAATAGTTTTTAAAACAAAAGAAATGTCACGATTGCAATTTATTCAATCTTAAGCTGTATCATTTTTGCAGGTGTTTTTTATTTTTATAAAAAAAAGAACCAAAACTAAAGTTATAGTTTTGAAACTTTAAAAAAAATTAAAATGGTTAAATAAATTATAAAAAATTGTTTTTTTCTTTTAAATTGTTTCAATCTAGTTTTGCAAAGAGTAAAATATTTATTTAATTTACATTGAAAAAAATAATAGGAATTTTAATGGATTTGTTAGAAATTAAATTTCTTTATTATCAATAAAAAATATAAAAAAACTTGCTGCAACCATATGTTTGATTAATCATATCAAAATTATTTTTTTTTGTAAAAATTTTCGCCCATTTTAATTTTGTAAAAATTCTAATTATATAATAATTAATATATATAATTGAGTTTTTTAGTTTATAAAGCTTTTCCCATAAAAAGTAATACAATAGCTTCTTGCAACCTGTTTCATAAAAATTTCTTTTAACCCAAATTTTTATTTTAATTTTTTTTAATTTTTTTTTTAATTATCGAATTTAAATTTTTTTTATTTTTTTTTTTAATTATCGAATTTAAATTTGTAATAGGGATTGTGATAAATAATATTACAAAAAGAATGAAGATGGAAGCCATGGCAACGACATGTGGTTTCAATTGGATTATTTTTAACAGAATATAAATTTCCTGAAAGTTGTGGGTTGAAACGACACAACAAACATTTTTTTCTACAAGCTCTATTGGAAATTAATTTTGGACAATGTATTGAATTTCTTGTAACTCTTTTGATGGGGGAGAGGAAAAAAGTTGACTATTACAAATATATAAAAGAAACTCTCTAAATAATAATGGTTTGGCATTTGGTGTTAAAAATAAATTAACAGAAACCCAACAATTATATAATAATATATAAAAACAATCTCAACTCTCTAAATAATAATGGTTTGGCATTTGGTGTTAAAAATAAATTAACAGAAACCCAACAATTATATAATAATATATAAAAACAATCTTTGAAAACAACTCTTTGATAAGTTCTTACTCTTGGTGTTGTTATAAACTTCTTTTCATATTGGTTTTTTTTGGCTTTTGAGTTTGATTCTCTTTTTAGTTCATTTTCTTTTTCTTTTAATATTGGCTCGGGAATGTTGGTTAGGACATAAAATGTTTTATTCTTTTTACATTGCCATGCTATTGCTGCACACTGTCCATTTTGACCATATTTAATTTCACCAACTTCAAAATTAGTTTTACGTTTATTTTGATTGATAAACTGCTGGAAAACATCACCAGTTCTATTGGAGGCAACCGATATAATAAAAAAATAGTTGTTTTTTTGATAACGTTTTCATATTCTGTATACTACCTAACAATCCAGCATCAATGATCATACAAGTGAATGGTCTATTTTTGATCGAACTAATTTCATTTAATATTTTTACAGTCCTATTTAAAATTTCTTCTCCAATTTTGGTTCAGTTGAATATAAAGTAAATGAACCATTACTGTTGTTGGTATTCATTTTTGCGAAATATGTAAATAGGTTATATTATAATAATAATTAAATAGATATATAATAAATAATAAAAAAAGAAAAAAAATTGGTTTTTAAAAAAAATTGGTTTATAAAATTTTAAAAAAAAAATTTTATTTTTTTTAAAAATTTTTTAATTTGGGTTAAAAATAATTCTCCTAAATAAAAGGCATAAAAATTCATAAATAAAGATCATCAATCGATAGCCGATGAAAATAGTTTTATCACACAAATCGTATTAAAAGGTATTTTATTATTTATTATTTGTTTGTTTGTTTTGGTTGTTTATATGTTTTCAAGATAAAAGACTACCCACTCTTTTACAAAAAATATTATAATAATGCTTGGGTTTTTTTGATAAAAAAAAAAAAATTTTGATTTTTATTAAATTTAATTATTTTTATAAAAAATACAATAAATTAATTTTTTTTATATTTTAGTATACAAATATTTAAAATAAAATAAAAATTTCACAATTTACATTTAAAAAATAACAAAAAATTACAAAAATAAAAAAAAAATAAAATATGACCATCAAAAAAATCTAGATATTTTTTGAAATCACAATAATGCAATAAAAAAAAAAAAATTTCTTTTTTTCAAATATAAAATCAATATGTCAACACTAATAATAATATTTTTCATAAAATTATTTATTAATTTTTCACTTCAGTATTCACAATCAGAAAGTAAATAAAATAATAATTATAACAACAATAATAATAATAATAATATTTTTCTTTATTTATAGGTACATGTTTTACCAATTTATTAACAAAACTGGGTCACAACCCTCCAGAAGATTTTTGCACATATCCACCTTATTTTCAATGCGATGCAAATTTAAATATAATTAGAATGGATTTTTCAACACGTCCTCAGTTAACAAATAATGTTATACAGAATACCGATGTAAGATGTATTGGACCCAACCTCAAAACAATGATTACCTACAAATGGAATATATCTGATAACTTTTTTGATTTTGCAACAGAGTCTTTAGATTACATGTAATTATAAATTAAATTTAATATAATAAAAAATAAAAATAATAACAATAACAATAATATAAATATAGAGAAATGGTTTCAACACAATCAATAAGCTTCAAATACCCAATCAATTCAAAGAGTTTCAGGACAACTTTAGGAAAAAGAATTGAGGAACCTTTGTCTCTATCACTTTTTACAACACCCTTAAAAGATACTTTTAAAATTGACCCAGATCCTACACTATCAAACAATATGAATTATGGATTATATGTAAATAATGATTTAGAATACACCTTAAACGATCCTTTTGTTTGTAAAGATGCCTATTTTGTAACAAGAAATATCCCATCAATGGAAAATGTTATTTCCAATAAATTTTCATATTATTTAACAAGCGATTTCGATTTCAATTCTTTTAAAAATTTATCAACTCATAATAATATAGGACTTATACATTTAAGAGGTTTTACAGGTCTATTTTATCCTCTGGTTCCGCTATCGATATTATTAGGTTCAAAAGATCCATATATTTTTTATATTTTTCCAACAATGTAAGTATAAAACTATATATTATAATTTTTAATAAAAAATAAAAATATTTATCTCACACATTAAAGCCTTATAGAATATAATGTTCAAACACCAAATGAGTTTATTGAATTTACAGGATACTCTTTCTTTAAAAGTTTGTAAGTTAATATTATTTAAAATAAGAAAATTTAAATTTTATTAAATACTAACACTATCTTTGATAATTAATAGATCATTTACAAATACTCTGAATTTCCATATTAATGGTGAATTACCATTTTCAAAACTTCCAAATGGTCTTTTTCAATTGTATGTATTATTTATTTTATTATTGCAATAATAAAATAATTAACACTAATAACAATTAACTTCAGTTCATATTATTATGGTCCATTAAAAAAACTTCCAAATTATAAAATATTTGATAATACTGATATTTATCAGTTATCTTTATATTATAATCAAATAGGTGGTGATTTACCAAAATGGGATGGTTCAAAAAACAATATAGTATACCTAGAGTTAAGCTCAAATTCAATAACTGGAACTATTGATGAATCTTATTGCTCTGTGCGTTTAAATATTTATAGAAACTTAATGACAGGTAAAATTCCAGAATGTTTTACATGCCATTTTAGCGATTTATATTTTAAATCAAACTTTGATCTTAATTTTTTTGATAACTACGATACAATAGGAACATGCAGTAAGTTTATAAAATATATTATTTAAATTATTACTTTTGGTATTAATTTTTATACATTTTGTTTTTTAAAAACTTTTAAATAGAAACTATTCCAAAATTAAAATATTTAAATCAAACTTTTTGGAAACAAAACAAAATAGTAACAGAACCAGTATTATCATTAATCGGTCAAAATATTGGATATTCAATAAGTGATATTGAAACAAATATACCATTTAATTTCATGTTAAAAGCCAATTCAAAATTTATAAAATATGACTCCTATACTCCAAATAGAATTATTCACGAAATAAGTTTCAGGAGTACAGGTCAAAACTTCACATTAACTCCAGATCCATATCCACCATTATTATCAAATATAACATCAAATAATCATATTTTGGAATTCAAAGGTTTATATTATTCATACGATATCACTGAAATAACAATTACAATTGGTGATAAATCTTGTGATGTAACTGATTCAACATTTTATCAAATCACATGTACTTTAATAACATATCCAAATCAACTGAATAATGTATCAGGCACACTCAAAGTAGATCAATTACAAACAACATTCAATTTAAATTTAGATAACAACGATGGTAACGAAGTATTCAACAACTATACATCATGTCCAGACAACTGTGAATCATATAATGGTAATATATGCAACTATAATACTGGTATTTGTGAATGCCCAAAAGACTGGACCGGTGAAAACTGTTATACTCCAATCCATTATGTATCATCAATAACACCAACATACGAAGATGGCGGATTAGTAACAATGAATGGATGGTTCGGTGATATTCATCAAGATTTAAAAGTAACAATCGGTAATCAAGGATGCAAAATAGTTACGATATCATCAAATACAATCACATGCAACATTGGAGCAGGTACAGGTAAAAAAGATGTAATCGTATATCAAAATGGAATCACATGGAAATCATTCAACTTTTTTATATACCAATCAAAACAACAAACATGTTTAAACAACTGTACCGATACTAACCATGGTATTTGTAATACATCAAATGGTATTTGCGAATGTAAATCAGGATGGACTGGATTCGATTGTAGTTCACCTTCAAATAACAACAACAATAACAATGGTAATACCAACAGCACAGTTAATCCAGATGGCTCAACAACAATTAATAATGATCAAACAACATACAATATATTAATCACATCATTATTAGAACTCGATATCAACAGTGACACAGTTAAACAATATCCACTTCAAAACAATTGGAATATTACATCAAATGATAAAAACGGATCAAATGTAACATTCACACAAATATTAAACGAAACTGAATGTCAAATCGTATTATCAATTCAAGAAATAGAAAATGATATTCAATATTCATTCGCAGGTTTAGAATTCAAATTAGATAAAGGTTCGATTAAAGTATCAGTATCAATTCACAATTACAACTATCAAAGTCCACTCAATACATTACAATTACAATTTATATCAAATGTATCAGATACAAAATCGAACAATTGTAACAGTAAATCAGCATCAACATCAACATTAATATTAGACAATCAAACATTAAACTATATATCGATCAACAAAGACAACAAGATTCTATATGGTAGATTTATAAACAGAGCAATATCAGATGGACACACAACATTAATCACCACATCATTAATATCGAATCAAAACGAATCAATAACCATTGGTATTAACATTCCACATTGCAGAACATCATGCTATATCGATCCTGACTTTTCAGTAATAATTAGTCCTGATTTCAAATCAAATTGTGACAACAAATCCAAAAATTATGTAATTCCAGTTGCTATCGTTGTAAGCTGTATCGGTGTAGCTGCTATTGTTGTGATCACTTATTTTATTTATAAAAGAAAACAAAAGAAAATTTTTGAAAAGAAAATTATTAATTTAAATAATTTAAATAATAAATAAAATAACTATTATATAATTTTCATTAAATAAAATAAAAGGAATTTTTATGGAAAGAGAAATTTTTTTGAATAATATCCTCAAACTTCTGTGTCAATTTTATTTGTGTTTCAATGTAATAATATAAAAATAATATTTTTTGTCATGGTTTCAATTTTTGGATTGTTTTGAATAATAATGAAAATTTTAAAAAATAAAAAATTAAAATTTCCCATTAAAAAAAAAAAAAAAGGGAAAATTTTAAAAAACTTGTTTAAATTTTTTTTTTTTCAAATATTTTAATAAAAAAAAATCTAGATATCATTAAAAAAATCTTTGTGGATTGCAATAAGTTTTTTTAAATAAAAAAAAAAAAATTTTCTTTTTTTTCAAATATAAAATCAATATGTCAACACTAATAATAATATTTTTCATAAAATTATTTATTAATTTTTCACTTCAGTATTCACAATCAGAAAGTAAATAAAATAATAAAAATAAAAATTATAATAATAATAATAATATTTTTTTCTTTATTTATAGGCACATGTTTTACCAATCTATTAACAAAGCTAGGTTACAGCCCTGCTCTAAATTTTTGCACAGATAAACCTTATTTTCGATGCGATGCAAATTTAAATATAATTGAAATGGATTTTTCAACACGTCCTCAGTTAACAAATAATGCTATACAGAATACCGATGTAGATTGTATTGGACCAAATTTCAAAAGAATGATTACCTACAAATGGAATATAGCTGATAACTTTTTTAATTTTGCAACAGAGTCTTTAGATGAAATGTAATTATAAAAATAAAAAATAAAAATAAAAATAAAAGTTATAATAAAAATAATAATAATAATTTAAATATAGAGAAATGGTCTCACCACCATCAATAAGCTTCAAATTCCCAATCAAATCAAAGAGTTTCGCTACAACTTTAGGAAAAAGAATTGAAGAACCTTTGTCTCTATCGCTTTTTACTACACCTTTAAAAGATACTTTTAAAATTGACCCAGATTTTACATTATCAAACAATATGAATTATGGATTATATATAAATAATGATTTAGAAAACACTATAAATGATTCTCTTTTTTTTAGATATGCATATTTTGTAACAAGAAATATCCATCAATGGAAAATGTTAAATCAAATGGTGAATTTTATTATTATTTAACAAGTGATTTTGATTTCAATTCTTTCAAAAACTTATCAACACATAATAATATAGGGATGATACAATTAAATGGTTTCACAGGTTTAACTTATCCACTGGTTCCGCTTTCAATATTGTTAGGTTCAAAAGATCCATTACATATAACTATTAATCCTACATTGTAAGTATAAAAGTATACATTATTGTTTATATTAAAAAAATTTTATAAATATTTATTTCACCCATTATAGCATTATAGAATATAATGTTCAAACACCAAATGAATTTATTGAATTTACAGGATACTCTTTCATTAAAAAATTGTAAGTTGATTTTGTTTTAAATATGAAAATTTATTAAATACTAACACTATCTTTGATAATTAATAGAATTTTTTCCAAAACTCATAGTTTCCATATTGATGGTGAATTACCATTTTCAAAACTTCCAAATGGTCTTTTTCAATTGTATGTATTATTATATTTATTATTATTTCAATTAAAAAATAATTAACACTAATTACAATTAACTTTCAGCTCATATATATCTGGGCCACTAAAAAAACTTCCAAACTCTAAAATATTTGATAATACAGATATTTATACGTTATCTTTATATAATAATCAAATTGTTGATTTACCTAAATGGGATGGTTCAAAAAACAATATTACAACCTTAGATTTAAGCTCAAATTTAATAACTGGAACTATTGATGAATCTTATTGCTCTGTGCGTTTAATTGTTAGAAATAATTCAATGACAGGTAAAATTCCAGAATGTTTTACATGCCATTTTAGCGATACTTTTTTTAAATCAAACTTTGATCTAAATTCATTTGATAACTACGATACAATTGGAACATGCAGTAAGTTTACAAAATATATTATTTTAAATTAATATTTTTTATTAATATTTTTACATTTCTTTCAAATAAAACTTTTCAATAGAAACTATTCCAAAATTAAAATATTTAAATCAAACCTTTTGGTTAATAAACAAAATAGTAACAAAACCAGTATTATCATTAATCGGTCAAAATATTGGATTTTCACAAAGTAATATTATATCTAATATATCATTTGATTACATGTTAAAAGCCAATTCAAAATTTATTGAATATAGTTCCTATACTCCAAATAGAATTATTCACGAAATAAGTTTCAAGAGTTCCGGTCAAAACTTCACATTAACTCCAGATCCATATCCACCATTGTTATCAAATATAACATCAAATAATCATATTTTAGTATTCAAAGGTTTATATTATTCATACGATATCACTGAAATAACAATTACAATTGGTGATAAATCTTGTGATGTAACTGATTCAACATTTTATCAAATCACATGTACTTTAACAACATATCCAAATCAACTGAATAATGTATCAGGCACACTCAAAGTAGATCAATTACAAACAACATTCAATTTAAATTTAGATAACAACGATGGTAACGAAGTATTTAACAACTATACATCATGTCCAGACAACTGTGAATCATATAATGGTAATATATGTAACTATAATACTGGTATTTGTGAATGCCCAAAAGACTGGACCGGCGAAAACTGTTATACTCCAATCTATTATGTATCATCAATAACACCAACATACGAAGATGGTGGATTAGTAACAATGAATGGATGGTTCGGTGATATTCATAAAGATTTGAATATAACAATCGGTAATCAAGAATGTAAAATAGATACAATATCATCAAATACAATCACATGCAACATTGGAGCAGGTACAGGTAAAAAAGATGTAATCGTATATCAAAATGGAATCACATGGAAATCATTCAACTTTTTTGTATACCAATCAAAACAACAAACATGTTTAAACAACTGTATCGATACTAACCATGGTATTTGTAATACATCAAATGGTATTTGCGAATGTAAATCAAGATGGACTGGATTCGATTGTAGTTCACCTTCAAATAACAACAACAATAACAATGGTAATACCAACAATACAGTTAATCCAGATGGCTCAACAACAATCAATAACGATCAAACAACATACAATATATTAATCACATCATTATTAGAACTCGATATCAACAGTGACACAGTTAAACAATATCCACTTCAAAACAATTGGAATATTACATCAAATGATAAAAACGGATCAAATGTTACATTCACACAAATATTAAACGAAACTGAATGTCAAATCGTATTATCAATTCAAGAAATAGAAAATGATATTCAATATTCATTCGCAGGTTTAGAATTCAAATTAGATAAAGGATCGATTAAAGTATCAGTATCAATTCACAATTACAACTATCAAAGTCCACTCAACACATTACAATTACAAATGATATCAAATGTATCAGATACAACATCGAACGATTGTAACAGTAAATCAGCATCAACATCAACATCAATATTAGACAATCAAACATTAAACTATATATCGATCAACAAAGACAACAAGATTCTATATGGTAGATTTATAAACAGAGCAATATCAGATGGACACACAACATTAATCACCACATCATTAATATCGAGTCAAAACGAATCAGTAACCATTGGTATTAACATTCCACATTGCAGAACATCATGCTATATCGATCCTGACTTTTCATTATTGATTAGTCCTGATTTCAAATCAAACTGTAACAACAAATCCAAAAAGTATGTAATTCCAGTTGCTGTTGTTGTAAGCTGTATCGGTGTAGCTGCAATTGTTACGATCACATATTTTATTTATAAAAGAAAACAAAAGAAAATTTTTGAAAAGAAAATTATTAATTTAAATAATTTAAATAATAAATAAAATAACTATTATAATAGTTTTAAAACAAAAGAAAAATGTAGTGATATTTGTTTTGATTTTTCATCATTGAATAAAATAAAAAGAAGTTTTATGAAAGGGTAATATTGGGCAGCACAATTGTGAACAAGGTCTTAACTATAGTCACAGTGTGTTTATTCTTTTTCTTATTAATAACCTTCTGTGTCATTATCATTTTGTAATTAAAAATTATAATTATCTTTGGTTTTTACCAATTATCATTATCGTATTTTTTTAAAAAATTATAGAAAAGATTATCTCTTATTCATTTTTATCCATTTTATATAA